GAATGTTAGTTTCAATTGTGTTAATACTAATAATAACAATAATAAAAAATGGGGGTCAAAATAAAAAGACCCAATTTTTTTTTATATTTTTATATTTTTTGTCTTTTCTTTTTCCTTTCTTTTTTCTTTTGTATTTCCAATTCATGGACACAACTTCAATTATTGGAATTAAGGTAGAAATTCTTCCAAACAATTGTTTGGTATGGTTTTGTTGGTGGCAGTAACCAAATTCTTTTAGGCAGAAACCAAGAAAGAAAGAAAAAATTAAAAAAAGTGAAAGAAAAAAAAGAAAGAAAAAGAAAAAAAATGAGATAGAGAGTAAAAAATAAAATAAAATTTCTTTATCTCTATTTCCAAGTCTCATAATTCGTTCATATAAATAGGCAGATATCGGGCTTCACTTAAACCCAATTTACTACATTTACTAATGCAAAATTTGAGTTTAAATCAAACGAAAAAATCAAAAAATTAAAATTTATTAATTTATTTATTTCATAATAAATAAATAAATCTTGAGTGGCATTTGTAGTCATAAAAAAATTTATTGGGCCGATTTAAATCATTAGCCTAATTAAATTGAAGTCCACTAAAGCCCATGAAACCCAAATGCCCATCTTATCTTTTTAAATAAATAAATAAAATCATAATTACTCAATTATTCCTTTTAATTAAATATAATTGAGTGATTACCAAAATTAGTACGAATTTTCCCTTATAAATAGGATCAATGGTCCATAAGACGGAGAGGGGAAGTAAAAACAAGTGAAAACAGAGAAGGCAATCACGAAGTGCTGAAGAAATTTCAAAGTCGAGGGAAGAGAAGAAATCACCTCACACCTCAAGAAGATCAAAATCTTTTTCGAATCAAACAAGTTCAAGTCAAGTCCAATAAGATCAAAGTTTTTTTTTTTTTTCAAATCAAATCAAATTCAAGCACAAAGCCAAGCTCCGTGCCAAACAAGTCAAGTATCAACAAATTCTTGAAGACTATGATTGAAGCCACGTGACCCTTCGTTTTCAAATATTCAGATCATTAATCTGAGGATTTTTACAATTTTACAATTACTAGAAGGTTAACATCACTTTATTTCTCAAAAATACAAATTGTAATAATTTCTATATTTTAATACACGAAATTCAACGTACAACAACATTAATTTATGAGGCATATGTCGAGTCATTATAAAATATGCAAATTATTCTAACATTTAAGCATAATTTCGTCAATCACATGAAATTTTTCTCTTTCAAATATTTTAGATATTTTCTATCAAAGAGATCATTTGAGCAATTAATTTAATTACATATTTTGTGGAATCAACAACTTTTGAACTACAAATTTTATCAACTTTTATAAATATCTGCTTAAAATTTGATTTTAATTCCTATCAAACAGGTACTTGAAGTGTTCAAGCTACATGTCTAAACATTTTTCTTTACCCATAAATTTAATTTCGCCTTCGGGGCTTTGTTTCATTTTCCCATATAATGGCTTTTCTTTCATTCCATAGCTACTATTCCATGAGCTAAGCAAGATAAGGCTAATTCTTTGGCCAGTAATTTCTATATCATATTTTTTTATGGACATTGCATCACATCCTCGTTATATCAATAATAAAGAGCGATATTAGAAATTTCAACAAATATTTCTTTTCGGTTTCTTTTATTTCCTATAGTAACTTTATCAAGATCTATTTGTTTAACAAATTTCAAATATCTGAACCTCTACTTGTGTAATTTGATTAGCTATCTCATGATCTCTTAAAGAGTCCCATTTTTCAATTTGATCATCTTGATTATTTGCTCAATTTTATTTTGAAAATTTCTGTCTTAGGAATTGATTTTTGCATGCTTCAGATTTATTCATTGTAATAATAATGAATTGTCCTACTGGGACATCAATTCATGTTTGAGCATTTACAGTGGGTAAATTTGAATAATGCATTTGACAATTAATTTGTCTTACATATTGAACTTGTGGTTCATATTATGTTAAAAGGATAACAACGATGCATATTTTTTCCAACTATTTAATATCTTCCTCAATGCTTGGATAATTGTCTTATAAATAATGACAGTCAACAAACTATCTCGTAAAATATTACCCATAGGGAGATCAATATATTATAAAAGTTATATCTGTTTCTTGTCCCATCGAGAAATAAAACTGACTAATCCGATAACAATGCAATATAGTTGGATTCTCATGTCATTCCGATTGAATCATCCTTCCTGTGGAGGTCAATCTTTGCCTGATTCATACAGAAGAAAATGTTCTCTACTGATTCAAACATTGTACCTATTAGATAGGGATAATGAAAGATAAAAAAAATAAATAAATAAAGATTTTACCTAGTACTTTTGATTGAAAAAAAATCAATTAGATTGATTTTAAAGGGAAATTCAAACACGATGTATATTTTCAACCGGCTCGTAACGGGAAGAATACATAATAAGATTTTGAGAAATTGAATACAAGGGATGCTATAACATTTCTCAAAATAAAAAACATGATGTTTGTTCACATGGGTAACGATCTTGTAAGTAATCTCACGAACTTTAGGTTGCGTATTATATAATAGCCACGCATGACCATCTTGTAGTTACGCATTTTTAAAATTATTAAATTTTTAAATAATTCACGTGGAAGATAAATGGGCCCACACATATCACCTTCAATAGTTTTCAAAGCATAAAGGAAATTCAATCCCATTTTTAGCTATATATTGAAGGTCAATTGACCTATTTTCTATGAGAACAAGGATCATATGAGAATTCATTATGTTGAAGAATGTTTTGGTTTTTTAATGAATGTCAATGTGAAATTTTGATAATTTTCCGCATAATTTTTTCGTCAACCGTTTATATCAAATAATAAAATCTTTAAGATATGAAACTTTTGATTTAATATAGTATTTATTTCAATCGTACTAATACCTATGTAATACAAATTAAGAAAATGTAAGTAATACACTTTAGCTCTTCTAGAACTTTAACACCAAGTAATCATGAGATTTAAGATAATAATCTTCCTAAGAATATAAATGCCCCATTTAAGTTAAATGGACATGGCCTGGGAACAGTCCCTGTGACAGTCTAACCTCAGTCCCAGATCTGAATTCAGATTCACATCTGTTCCCAGTACCTATCAATGTAGCAACTCTCTATATACCTTGAATCCCTCCGGATTAAGCACCGCTTTCAATCAATATTTAATGCACAACATAAATCAATTGCTACAAGAAAAGGGGAAGGGAAGTAAGAGGAAAATCTTTCTGCAGAAGAAATAGAAGAGAATGAAGAGGTATGAGAAAAATATAAGAATATAACAGGACCGGTATCACATGGATATTAATTTTGTTGTAATTGTAAAATTGTAAAATTCTCTAATGAACAATCTAAATGTTTGAAGATGAAGGGTCACGTGGCTTAAATTCTGGACATCGAGAAAAAGTTAAAAAATTCATTTGTTGAGAACTTGGCTTGTTCAACACTTAGATTTCGAGGACTTAAACTTGGACTTGAATTTGATTTGATTTGAAAAAGATTTTTATCTTCTTGAACTAGCTTGATTTGAAGAAAATTTTGATCTTCTTGTTGTCCATTGGATTTAGACTTGATGTGATTTCTTCTTTTTTTCCGACTATGAATTTTTTCCGACTAGGATGGGTCTTTGAATTTTATTGGCCTTAGTAGACTTTGATTTAATAAACTTAATTGGGCTAATTATTTAAACCGATACAATCCATTATATATTATTATATATTTATTTATTTTATGTCTACATTTGGATTTGTAAAATGAACGTTGCATTCACTGTTTAGATTGTTTTTGTAATGAATGAAATCTTATCGAAAAATTTTACCCTTAATTTGATATCCTGTGAGTGTCACGTGGTCTTTTTCCATTAAAATAAACATTTTCCATTAGCAATACCATGACATGGATGCAATATATTAAAGATTGGGGGATATGAGTGCAATAAATGATAGGTTGGAGAAACTAAACCTAAGCCTCCATTTTTCCAAAAATAATTTTCAACTATTCATTCTCCCATAAAATAATTTTATACATAGACTTAAAATTAGTGATGGCAATGGGGTGGGTTCGGGACGGGGCATCCTCGCCCCACCTCTACCGCCCCACGTCCCACCCTCCCCGTCGGGGCGTAGGGCAGGGCGGGGCGGGGCGGGGTAATTTTCTTGTCCCGTTTAATTTTTTTTAATTCCGAGTTTAATAAAATACGGATAACATTCAAGTTGAACTTTTAATAAAGAATGCCTTTACTTTATGTAAATTTAAGTTTTTGTTTTGGGATAAAATTATTTATAGTGTAAAATGATTTTTAGAGAATGTGTGTGAATAAAAAGTATGAAAAATTTATAGGTGCACATGTAAATTATGTTATTAAAAAAATTGTGATAGAAAATAAGTTTAAATAAAAAGCGATTTTGAAATATGTTGCATAGATGAACTCTATATATAAATGAAAATTGAAAATTAAAAATTAAAAAAAAAAAATTCACCGGATGCCCCGCCCTGCCCCGCGACGGGGCTACCATTTATACCGGTTTTTTTGCTCCATTCGGGGCAGGGCGGCACGGGGATAAATTGCCATCACTACTTAAAATTTCTCTTTATTTTTTAACCATATTTTCGAAAAAGAAAAATTAAATAAATAAATAAATAAAAATTTATTCCAAGAAGAATGTTATGTTATACACACACCTGCCCATAAATTCATTGTCGCTCAAAACAGAATGGAAAATTGAGAGCCAATATAGAGTTACTGTTTCTATTTTTGTTGTCTCATATTGTTCAATCTGATTTCCACTAAGAAATTCGCATTTATTCTATTGAATTAGAATCAAGAATGTTAAACTCTCTCTCTCTCTCTCTCTCTCTCTCTCTCTCTCTCAATGTGGACTGTGCCAATCGGTGTCGAAGTAAATTTGGCCCAATTTTCTTTGCATCTTGCCTGAAGTTTGCTCAGAAACCCATAGAAAGCCAAGTCATTCGATTATCTGACTTGGTTTGATTTTGAATTAAGACATAGTTACAATTTATTTTGAACAGTAGGATGATTCCTAAAGACGATGTAGGTCCATCTCAGAAGTCCAAGCTACAAACACCACTAACATTTAAATAACCTTTATTACATTAGTTCTATTCATTTCAAATTCAAGCCATAGTTCACATGAAGTATGAATCAGCATTATCAGATCCTACCATCCGGATACTGCTTGATTTCATTAACAAGTCAAATGAAGTTAACGAATGCGGAGAAAGCACGATGTCCACTTGGCCACCAGCACCCTCCATTGAACTTTTAACTGGCATCACCTGCATAGAACCAAAAATAGGGAACTTCAGGATTTATGGGGTGTGAGGAAAAAACCTATGAATTGCTTTTAAGGAAGAAGGAATATATTTCCAGGATATTCTCGTGATGAAATAACTTGAATACATGGAGATTTTGCACAAGTTTTTGCTCTCTAAGTCAGGCTTCTTCGCTAGTGCAATACATAGATGTAATGAATAGTGTTATAAAAAGCATAAAGCGTGACTAGGCATAGAGGCCAAACTTCAAACTTTTAAGAGCCTAGACCGTAAAAAATCATTTTCTTATTTTAATGCACTTTGAGGTGCGCATTAATAAGTTATCAACTGTAATTTCGTGCTTTGTGCCAACGCGAGATGTTTCACCCGCGCGCTTTCTAGGAAGCTGGTAATGAAGGACAAAAGAGAGAGACAGTATCAGTCTTTTGTTAGCAAGGTTGTTCAAATATACCTTCTTGGGCACTTGGAAAGAATTCTCATCCATCAGATTACTAGATGTTAATTCAGTCTTTGTCAATCCAAAGGATGGTACCGAGTTCAGCTCCAGTCCATCAATAAATATTTGAAGAGTCACATTGTTGCTTCCAAAATTCACAACCTGGAGAACAAATTTGTCGAGTTCATAAAGAGAGAAATTTAAGAATCATGCAGAGAGATTGGTTAAAGATTTCGATGCTAGAAGAAGTTCTTATATCCATAACGGTGAAATGAAGTTCAACGTAGAGATGAAACATTTGTATTTTTACTAATTTTATTTTCCAGCAAAAACTTGCGATTGGAAAGTACACAAACCTTTATCCTAAGGTATTTCTTGTTATCTGAATTTTGCCAAACAATTGCTGAAGCAATAAGAGAACTTGAAGAGTTAGCTTGAAGAGTAGAACTCAGAAGAGTTGCGCCATTTGACTCCCTGAAAAAATGTTGCATCCAATAGCTAGGAGTTCCATACGCCTGTGCTGAGTCGAAGACAATTGCATCTGGGTTCCAACTGAATCCATGAAAATTTTCTCTTAGATTCTTAAAAATGCAGTTCAAAATGGGAAAGATGGTATTGAGTAGGAAGAATTAAAACATACTTTCTATCGTTGGTATTAACAAACAAAGGTGCGTAACTTGCCATTTCAACAGCATCACTGCATCGAAGGAGCAAATATAAATCTTCATTATTGTCGAAATATCATAGCAGAAGCAAGAAATCCCATGTGTAAACCGAGTAGGTAACATAAGCATGTACAAAACAAATATTGTATATAAATAAGCAAAGCAACATTTATAGAAAATTTTGAAGCATTAAAAATTCTTGAAATTTGTTATGATACCAGTTCCTTTCAAGTCCAATAACAAATCCAGCTTCTGCAAGAGCTGCTAAAAGACTGCCTTTGCCAGCATCATTTCCATTCACAGCGTATTCACTGACAAAGGCCTACACACCAAATTATGTCAACTGAAGCATAAACCCCATTCATTACTCATATTATCAAAGTAAACTGCTACAAACCTTTGGATCATTGCGTGAGACTTGGTCAAACTTTGATGCGGAGGAAAACATATTATTTGCACCAGTATAAATCTAACCAGAAAACCATATGTGAATAAGTAGCTTCCACGTTTCAAATAATCAAATATATTGTAAATGTGTGAAAGAAATGAAGAAGTACTTACATGATAATCATACAAATCAGCTGGGTGATCCAATGGTTTAGAGGAACCATCGCAGTTCGAGATTATTTTGATGTCCGGATAAGCTTTTTTTATAGCACTGTAGAACTTGAGGTAGTTTCCTGAATAATAAGAATATAGGAAATTATACAGACCATTAACTTGAGTTTTGCTAATTAAAGATGGTTGAGCAAAATAAATCTGATATGGATGATGCCAATAGGCGATGTAATTTAATCAACTAATTGTCTAAGAATTTTAAGTTAAATTATATTAGTAAAAATTCATCAGTTGAAGGCAAATACAATACATATATTTGAGTGAACATGTGAGTTATTTGATTGTGAAAAATTATTTATCATCAAGGTCACTAAACCTTAATCATTATTCCTCGTAAGGATGGCGTTGAAGCTTCACTATATTTTATTGACAAAGGAAATAACCTTTTATGTGAAATATAAATGCATCAAGGATGGTTAGTTTTATATTACATACTGGTTCATCTTAATCATTATAGGCTAGTAAAATGAAAAAGGAAAAAGAGATGTTTACGAATGTAAATAATAGCTTACCAACATAATTTTTCTTCCCACAATCCTCATTCCCAACTGCAACATATTTCAAATCAAAAGGTTCCCGGTGTCCCATTGCAGCTCGTAGAAAACCCCATTTTGATTGAGGATCGCCTCTTGCAAACTCAATACCGTCTAGGATTTCCTATAATTGATTTCCAAGAAGTGAAATACATTACAAAATAGATCATTTTTAGGATACTGCTCCTTGCAGGGCTAGTTCAAAGCTACATATCAAGGGTGAGATTTTAAGAATTAAGCCCCTGTTTCACAATCATTAAAAGAGTTTTTTTTTTTTTTTTTTTTTTCTTTTTTTTTTTTTTTTTTTTTGGGAAAAATGAGTTTTGGAATAGTGATTTTTTTTTAGAATGCTTGGTTCAAAAGTAGGAAAAAATTTAGATTTACATGCAAAATAGTTTATCGTAAGAATGCATTGTTGAAAATGAGTTTGAAAAAAAAAAAAAAAATGAAAAAAAAAGAGTCTTGTCTAAGTGGTTGTCAAATGGGGGCTAAATACTCGTGCAAATCTGAACTGAACCCGAGATCCTTACTTGTACAAAAGGTAAGACGTTGGAAGTGTCAACTTGATCGTTGTGACTAATGCCTGAGAATTATTGGACATGAAGACAACAAAATAAGATAAAAAGGAAAAGAAACTCAAGAATCCAACTTGAGCATGTTCAGCTAAGCTTAAGAAAAGGCGAAGTTACATTTAGTCTCCAAACATGTTCACAAAACTTACTATTTCCTTATTTTCAGGTAAAAAAAACACTTTTTTGGAAGCAACTCTGGACTTATTGTCAAAATAGCCAACTTCCTTATTTTTAACTTTGACTAATAAAAAACTTATTTATTTTAGATCTTACTTATGTAAGTAAACTTTTTAAGCTTAGTTAAACATGCTCTATCTATCACCATAACATTGTAGTCTAAAAGAGTACCATTGTTGAACACCCATACTGGTGCTGCACCCAAGTCCTCAGCAAGCTGCAAAAGAAGTGAAATTGAAAGAGTAAAAACAATGAAGACGATGATTATTGAATAATTTAAGAAAATAAAAATATCCAATATAATATTTACCTGGAGAAACTCAAAATGACCAAGACCATCATCAGTCCAGTACTGCCAAACATCACCAAAATGCCCAGGCCTCTCTTCCCATGGTCCAACAGTTTCTTTCCAACGAAACGCATTTCTTAACCATTCACCTTCGACAAAACAACCACCTACAACATGGATCACAAGAAAATGATGCTGCGTTCATACAGCTATATATTACAAGCCTTGATGAACATGACGTACATAAATATGACGAACATGACATATATAAATATGATGAATCCCAAAGAAAGCTAATAATATTACCCAAACAAACTGAAAGAAGGAAATTGGAAAAAACAATATGAATATATTAGGACTACCTGGAAATCTGATAAATCCTGGTTTCAAATCTTTCAGCATTTCAAAAAGATCACTGCGAAAACCGTGTTCCTGTGCCAAAAGGTAGTAATGAGGAGCTTATTATAATATATAAGAGATCTCAACCTCTCCATGGCATAGACAGTGTAGTATCACACGCAGCTCAATCTTTATATTATTTAGATTTTTTTATTTTTTTATTTTTTTGTGCAAAGTAGTAGGAAACTTGATCAGATCTAAAATACTTATTCAATTGCCTTTGGGAGCATCAAGGTAGATGCACCCAATTATTCACGAGGCTAAAGAGCTAAGCTACATAGACGGCGACATAGCATGGATATGGCAAGACAAAGTTGGACTAAGACACATTCAAGACACATCGGATTTAAATTCTTTAAAATTTTAAATTCATAAATTATGTCTTTAATTTTATAATTTTTATATAGGACACGACACATGGCATGTTGGACACTTGCCTGGGGGTGTTTATGAAGTATCCCTTGAGTATTGATAATTAAATAATATATAAAAAATGGGATAAGGACATGTGGCTTGTTGAATACATGTCCTTGAGTGTCGTGTCCGACACATTGCCCTAGTAGGAGTTTCCATGCATCATAGTTAGAGAGCAATCTTAATGTATTTCACACTATTCAGTGATTAAAGCTGATCTGGGGTATGCATTCACCTTGTATGTATCTGTAGGCATCAGTGATACTTGATCAAACCAAATGACACCTTTCCTGGTTGTAGTGAGCTGCAGTCTTGATTTTGCATCGGTTCCTTGTGCTTGCAATAAAACCTCCATCCTTGTCCAGTTCGACACATGAGAAGCTCTGCAACAACAATAACTTTAAAATATTCAAGAAGTAACCTAGGTCTAAAACCATTTAAATGTTTTTATGCATTACTAGATTGTGTATAATAGACAACATTTGAACTTCTTTTTCTTCTTTAATATTGTCCAGTACTATTAAATCCCCATTAACAAACATGCTACCAAGTGAAATGTAATGAGTCACCAGTACTAACTTAAAGTTAGTAGTAGCCAATGTCTGCAATCCATTTGAACCCGTTAACGACACAGACAAATCAATTGATCCTTCTGAACGTACATAGAGCACCAATTTATAGGTTTTCCCTTGTTTGATATTCTGCAAGAGGAAAGCATATTAGGTTCCAGTTGGCAGATTAAAAAGATATTAGCATCATACAGATCCACAGAAGACCGATGGAATGAAATTCAAAATGTTTACCCCTAAACAACTTTAAAATCAAACTAATTGCAATGTTAATTTGAAAAATTGTGTTTATGACCAAACATTTCGAAGAAGAAAAATAAGTCAATTAATTCATAGTTTATCGATCTAATACTATGCACCAAACGTATCATATATTTAATTCTTTTAGAAGAGAAAAATTAACAAATTTATGGAATGTTCCCCATGTAAAATTTGGAGACCACCAAATTCTTCTTTTAAAACATCACTCCAAGTTGACATACATATGAAACTTCAAGTATTTGCTGCTTCCTATATAATAATTTTGTAATGAAAATTGAGAAAATATTTTACAACTAGTAAAGGGAAGAAAAACAAGGCTGCTTAACAACCAATTAAACCTAAAAAGTAAATGGTACTATTCTTTTAGAGCTTATGTTACAATAAGATTTGAATTTCTACCTGAAACAATAATTTACTAGGAATGTCAAAAAATTGAGAAAAATAAAATTTTTACTTTTACTTACTGAAGTAGAGAAGAAGAATAACATTTAGTTATTTGGGATCACATATAAAAAGCTACAGAAGACTCGAAAAACCAGATGTTACATGAATTATTAGTCAAAAAACAAAATTATGCATATTATTAGTCCATCTGGCTATTCAGGAAGGTAGAAAATGTTATTTATATATATTGCATTTTGATCATTCACTGAAGACGCCTTCATTTCCCTTTCAAATTTTGAAAAGGTGTTAACTCTTACCATACCCCAGAACCCAGGGTTATATATACCAACTCCTCCAGCTGGACAGATACTTGTGCCCTCATTGTCACATAGTACCTCCATTCGCAGAACAATTTTATTTCGAGGAAAGCACGATGAACGTTCCGTTGATACAATTAATGATGAATCATCCCCGATAATAGACCAGGGATCGATGTTTGAAGGTGTATTGGGTCCTCCAGCTTCAAAACCTGAAATTAAAATTATTTGAGGCTCCTAATCATTGGCATCCATAACAAAAGCAAGTGACATATTCGTTTCAAACTATATAATGCACAGGCTTTTCATCTCAAACAATCATGAATTTCAGAAAATGCCACTGATATTTAACTGATCATGTCCTGCCTTGCAAAATGTGGCTGATAGGAAACAAAGCAAAAGAAGCATTAATTGTTTTCTATCCATGAATTAACACATTAAGGCAGTAAGTATTGTGAGTGGCATTTTGCAAAAATTGTATAGCAAATCATTTGCAGGTAAGATGAAGAATAATACATCCAAGGAGGCCAATTGGCCACTTCCAGATTCAAAGCACTTACACATTCGAAAGTACAGTTTACAAATAAGATTTTTGCAAAAGACAGGTGCTTCTACATTGAAATACGGAAGACGAGGAAAAAAACGAAAAGGAAAAGAACAAAAGAAACTTGAGGGAGCTTCTTGAAAATTACTCAGAAGACAAGACGGAGGAACATTGACAAGAAGGAAGAACTAAATTATAACATACATACGAAGAACATGAAATTTCACAATTTCTCTGATATTGTCAATGATCAAATGGGGCAGGGAAAACCATTTGCCAATTGAGCATAGGATGCTAAGTAATCAATTGCCATAAAACACAAGGGAAGACTGTGTACAAATTACCAAAATTGTACCAGGGGATATTAAGCACAAGCATGAGTTCCGAACCCCATATTGCTACAAAGATCTCCATATCATTGATGAATCAAGAAAGATAGGAAGGGAAAGATGACAGCATAATATTTTCCTCCTATTCAAATAAACTAAAGAATATGCAAATGTTACATTTCAAATTTTAATAACAAAAACATTGTAAGAAATTATAATGGATATTTAGTTTCATTTAATGTTTTCCTTCTCTGAGAACAACTTAAGGAAATTCTAGCCGACCTCGGTTGCTAACAAGCTCGGCCCACAATCCTCCAGCTCCAGCATGGTTAATCTCCTGAAGATATTTCAAAGAATATTAGCCTCTGTTCTCATTATTTAACAGCTAACAAAAATATAACGACCATTAACACTTGTTTAGATGTCAAAGAACAGGTTTCATTCAGCATAACAATTATCGTAAACCCAAAAAAACTAGGACTGTCAATCTCCAAACCCACATATAATAACATTTTCGTGTGTTTCACATACATATACAAAGAAAATATTATGAACACATTTTCTAATAATAATACAACTTAAAACTCTAAAAATTCAATGATGATGCAAACATGGACAGTATCTATGGAACCAATTACTTGTAACATATCAAGTGACGGATCATGCAAAAACATCATTTGCATAATAAAATACCCATGACTACTTTCATGCTCAAAGTTAAATAAAACAAACACTGTGTACATCCTACGTCACAGATAATAACATAGAAGATGAAGTTGATGTAGAAGTTCATCATAAATTACATATCTCACCTCGAAAAATATGCCAAACAAGTTTTCAGGTATTTCCTTCGCCGATGCTTCAGAAGTATTAACGAAAAGCAATGCTGTCTGGCTTGCTTCAGTTTCAATTGCAGAAGATTTATAAATAGAATTCAACGCGATGAAAAAGAAAAGAAGGATGCTGCATATAGCACTATTGAAACCCATTTCTTCCTATCTGCATCCAATGTGTTTGCAGCCCAATATAAGCACTGATAAATATACCGACTCAGCTATCTTATAATATATACAGAGAAAAAAAGAACTTAATCAGTTAACAGAAGAAAAGTAGTAAAGTGTAAATAGAAAAACTTCCTGTTACAACAACCTCGTTTTATCGAAAACTAGAAAACCAAATAATGAATTCAAGAACTATATCAACACAAAACCAGCTTGGCAGACTATTATCAGATTGTTTTGCTTCAAAAACAAACTACAGAAGTTGGGGAAAAGAATAACATCAAAACAAGAATAATAATTTATATTTTATTCACATTTCCATTCTTCCTTTTCTTTATGGAAACCCATGTTGTGTATTAAGTTTTAGTCAAAAAGTTCTTTAATGGCAAGTTTTATTAATAGCTTGAACAATAAGTAAACGTGTACAAAATCATAAATAGATTGAGAGTCAAAATTAAAAGTTCGCAGTATCAATATTAATGAAGAAGTAAATCTGATTTATCAGAGGATTTTAATAAATTCAGGCACTTTGTTCCACAATAAGATTTCACAAGTTAAATGAATTACTTAGTATTTCATTCATCATTACTTCGTCACTCAAAAAAACTCATGGGTTTATCACACTACCCGTTCAGATTTTGGCAAACTCCATTGTAAGGATTAAACTTGTTGTACATAATATTTTGTACATAATGGGTGCCCTCCACTCACATGGTGGGGGGCCCACATGAATTACTTAGTATTTCATTCATCATTACTTCGTCACTCAAAGAAACTCATGGGTTTATCACACTTCCCGTTCAGATTTTGGCAAACTCCATTGTAAGGATTAAACTTGTTGTAAATAATATTTTGTACATAATGGGTGCCCTCCACTCACATGGTGGGGGGCCCACATGAATTACTTAGTATTTCATTCATCATTACTTCGTCACTCAAAGAAACTCATGGGTTTATCACACTTCCCGTTCAGATTTTGGCAAACTCCATTGTAAGGATTAAACTTGTTGTACATAATATTTTGTACATAATGGGTGCCCTCCACTCACATGGTGGGGGGCCCACATGAATATTATATTCATGTGGGCCCCCCACCATGTGAGTGGAGGCACCCATTATGTACAAAAAATTATGTACTACAAGCATTATTCTTGTCTTTATACTTATGAGCACATCAGTACAAACATACAGGGCAAAATCTATATTTTTCAAAGATCTTGACCAACTATGCTACTTTGTGCAGGGGTTGAACCTTTTTCTCAGGCTAGCATGGTTGCAAACAGTTTTTAACTACACATTTGGAAGGGTAGATTACAGAGTAACCGGACTATGTTTAGCAGCACTTGAAGTTGTTAGAAGAGGCCAATGGAACTTTTACAGGTAAAAACATATGTTTTCAACACGTTCCCCCACGTCAAAAATCTCACAAGTGAACGGTTTCCATAAATAAGGATGTCAAAGAGACTTAAACTTGGGACTTTTACGTGTTTTTGCACAATCCTGGGACTTAAAAGTAATAATCATATATATTACTTTACAGGTTGGAGAATGAGCATCTAAATAATGCTGGAAAATTCAGAGCTGTGAAGACTGTACCACTTCCTTTTCATGAAGTGGATGATCAAGATTGAGGCCAATTTGCTTACAGAATATTAGCTAGGATTATGCAACTTATTACTCTGTTATTCAAAGATGAAATGAAATTCCCATTGTACAAGTTGAAGTTCAAAATATCAACTTGTTTTTTGTCATATTCTCTGGAATATTCACTTCAGCTAAATAATTTATACTCAGTAAACAGAAAACTTTGCCTTTTGATTGATGGGACGAAAAATAATTTTGTATTAATATTTTATCAACGCCATAATATGTAGATCATTGTCTTTTTAGTTTAGTTGAACGTGAAGCAAAAACTAGACAAGATTAAGCACAGTTAACAAATTGAG